ATATATAATAAAGTTGAAAAAAAAATAAAAGACAAGGAAAACTAAACAGCATTAAAGGATAAAAAAGGAAATAAATTAAAAAATTATTTTTAGTCAATTAATCACAACATAAGAAATGTGAGAGTTAAAGTACGAAATAACAAGCTTTTACGATCCCCCCAAGCCCATATCAATCCCTGATGTGGGCAAAACAACAACCTTAATAGACTCATCTACGGAACAGGATCTGGGCAAAACACTAATCTTGATGACCCAACCACAACCCCTTCGCGTTTAGATTGAACGAGTGGAAAGAAAGCCCAAAGGAGAAGGCCTCGCCCGGTCTCTTCCTCGACATTAAGCTTCGAACGCGCCTCGCCCCACCTTCGCTCCCCCCCTCCCACCGCGCTCTGCTCTCAGATCCGGGCGGTGCCATGCTTTCCGGCGCCAGATCTCGCCCTTCCCTCTCCGCCGCCTTCCTCGTAGTCCTCGCGGTCTCCGCTTTCGCCTCCGAGTCCGACCACAAGGTACGCCTTGACCCTCCGCCCCGATTGATGCTCCATCCCAATTCCAACATTCCGTTCGTAAAGATCTCATTAGCACGCCGGGATGCGAGATTGATCCGGGAAGCTGTTGAGATCTCTAATTTTTTCAATTTCTTTCGATTGCGGCGTAGATCCGGACTATAATAACTTCCTTTGGCTTCTTGGTTTGCTCGATAGGTTGACGTCAAATTCGAATTTTTTCAGATTGGAACATTTGTGTGTGGGTTCATCCTTTTTGCTGGCAATTGCCGGTAACTCGTACCCAGCGCATATGGCACAAGTTCCAGTGTATAACGATGCTGCCGTTCTATTATCTAGCTGAAATCGAGTTGGAAGCTTAATATTTGATGGAGATCTTTTGAATTCACCAACTAGACTCCATGTAGAATCTCAAAAGGATGTTTCACAATGATCAGAAGTTGCAGATCCGCCTTACAGGACAAGTTGAATTATTATTTGCAGCATCTTCGTCTCTTTGCACGGTTGCCTGTTTCATTCTAACTCGAAATGATCAGAGGATGTCAGAATGTGACTTACGCTCTGCCTTACCATCTTTTCACGTGACACATACTCCATGTAGGCGGCCTACCTTAGTTTTCGATAGAATCATTACTGTCTCACACTTGACAGTGCTGAGCATAGTATAGTCTTGTCTGGTGGATAATTTGATGTAAATGAAAGGTGTAGGAACAGTCTAATGGTTTCGAATGTTTGCAAACATGGTTTTAGCATAGGATAGTCTTAGCGACATGGTTTCTTTCTCCACATCGAGTACTTTCAAGGCAGTATCACGAGTTACTAAGGAAGCTATACTTTTCCATTTGCTCTTGCTAACAAAATATTTTTTATGTCTTCTTCTACATCTGTTGCCAACACCTAACTGAATTAACCTGTTTTCTGTAACTGTTGTATTTATAGGTTTCATTTTGGAGATGCTCAAACCATTTCAAATGATGTTTCCTTATTTTATCATCAACCTATGTTAATATTTTTTTTTATTTTTCGTGGATGCAAACCTTTTATAGTCCGATTTTATAGGTTTCAAATGATGTTCCGCATATCCAATCACAATTTCATCTTTTCATCTAATTTCTCTAGCTGATGAAATTTTTGAGTGACAATCATAGCTTCCATGGGTAACCATATCTTAATATTTCTATTAATTTAAGGGTGCAATATGGTGATAGAACTCCTCACATGCCCCTATCTACTTTATCTAGTCTGCTTGAACTCTAGGAATTATATCTTTATCCTTCTCGCTGTCAAATAATAAACCATAAATATTAAAAAAATTTGCTCTTTGCCATGGGATTTATTTTTAATGGGATTTCTTATTCATCGATTTCAGTGATTCTTTCGGATTTCTCTTAGTTTTTGAAAAGTATCACTTTATACATTTGAATCTTAAAATTTGGTCTAATTTGTAGTGCAGGTAGTTTTGGAAATTCTGTCAATAATCTATTTTACTTCCTGCCTATTTTCTTTTCTTATGGCCAATATAAAGTCTCAAATTCCATCTAATGAGTTATTTAAATAATATATCATTTGAGCGGATTTCAAGGACAGGTTTGAGATTCACCCCAAGAGGACGAACACATTTGAAGGCATCTACCATCTTGAAGTTTTAGCTCAAAGTACATCCACTTCAATCTTTTAAGTTGAGTCATATAAGAAGACAATAGAAAACAAGATTTACAAACTCATAATTTTGTGCATCTTTCTAAATAAATAGATAAGAAACAGCTGCATGTGATCAATAATGGTGTGTAGTTATTGATGTTAATAGAAAGGGAGACTAGAGAATCCCTAATCACCTTTGAGTTGAACTAAAAATAGCATTCTAACATTTTTGCAGTATCGTATATCAAACCAATTGGCATATTCAATATCAATTTCTCTGTTGCAAAATTGCTATTAACAATGTTTCAACTAAATAAATCTACGGTTATATATGTAGTAAATCTTCTTCCTTCCCTCAATAATTTCATCGAAGATATCATCCAACTCCTCAAAAATACTATTCCATATGTTCTATATAGGCTTGGTGTTTTATAGAAACCATCTAACTCGATATGTTTTATTTTAGTTCAAAAATTTTCTCAAACCATCTTCATAGTATTCTGTATGTAATTAAATGTATTGTTAAAAAAAATAATATGTCACATGTTTACTTCTATGTGTAGCATAAAGATGTTTCAGCCTTGCCATCAATATGTTGAAAAGAAAAAACTAAAGATGTTGAAAAAAAATACTCTCAAAGAGATTTTCCTAGGATCACCACCAGGCTGTCTGGTTTCCTGTTTCCTTATTGTATGAAAATGTGGCAGCAAAGTTAGTATTTCTCATATCCTGGTTTTCACATAGTTACCAATTAACTTGCAGTACCAAGCTGAAGAACCAGTTACACTCTGGGTAAACAAGGTTGGCCCTTACAATAACCCTCAGGAGACATATAATTATCACAGTCTTCCATTCTGTCAACCATCTGAGAATCCTGCACATAAGTGGAGCGGGCTAGGGGAGGTCCTAGGTGGAAATGAACTTATTGACAGCCAGTTCCAGATAAAATTTCAAAGTATGCAATTTCCTTTTTACCAAATCTTCAACATCGTTACTGAATTATTAATTGGGATGTAGACACCGTTTACACTCATTGGGTACCTACTCATTGATTTCTCATTAAAATTAAACTTCTAAACATTTAAATGTCAGGAAATGTTGACAGAGGTTCCATTTGTACGATTGAACTTGATGCCACAAAAGTGAAGCAATTTGCTGATGCTATAGAGAACTCATATTGGTTTGAGTTCTTCATAGGTAAGTTACTTGATAATTTCTTTACTTCTGCCTATTATGCTTGATTACTTACCCTTTTACCTGTTTTCTTTTGTTTCTTCATTGTTTGGAGCCGTGATCTAGATGACTTGCCTATGTGGGGTATGTCCTTGCCTATTGTTGATGCCTTCTATTTGCTTCTTATCTTTAATGATGTTTCACATGTTGTGATGTAGAATATTTTTATTTTTAATTAGGTTTTGTTGGAGAGACTGACAAAAACAACAAAGATAAACGTTATCTTTTCACACATAAAAATATCATCATCCAACATAATGAGTATCAGGTAGGTGATTTCTGAGAGCCTTGCGGTCATGATACTCTGAAAGATTTTTCTGAGGGGGTTTGACTTGTGTCAAAGCTTTACTGTATCATTTTTTTTCATCTCTTTCGTGCAGATTATTCATGTCAATCTCACTCAAGAAAGTCCTAAACTTTTGGAGGCAGGAAAAAGATTAGATATGACATATTCAGTCAAATGGCTGCCGACAAATGTTACATTTGCTCGCCGGTTTGAGGTTTACTTGGATTACCCTTTCTTTGAGCACCAGGTAATGTAGTTCTGAATTATTATAATTTCTACCCTATAATCTTTTTCCTGAAACTTTAATGCAGTTATCACAACTTCTTGACATCATAGATCTAAGTTTGTGGATGATCATGGTTTCAATTACCATGATATGCCTATTGTATTATAACGGTTATTTGTGTACTGACCATATTGGTTGATACTGGCATATTACATATTTTTTTGTATTTAATTATTAAGGCAGCACATACTTTACTGATTGGTGCTTACTGGTTTGATAAGATTCTGGTATAGTTATTGACAAGTTCCATGAACAAAAATGCTTCCTTATGATTGCAATACTGCCTGCCTTACACAGATTCACTGGTTCTCTATCTTCAATTCATTCATGATGGTTATTTTCCTCACTGGCCTGGTATCTATGATATTGATGAGAACTCTCAGAAATGATTATGCAAAATATGCTCGTGAAGATGATGATCTTGAGACTCTGGTAATTACTTGCTGCATTTATTTTGAAAGAAAAAATAAACTACCTTTGTTATCTGCCATTTTTTAATCTTTCCTTGAAGCCTGCCTATAAGTCATGATTCTGTCAGCCCAAGTTAGATCTTTTGATGATTTGATTTTTATCAGGAAAGAGATGTGAGTGAAGAATCTGGATGGAAACTTGTTCATGGGGATGTCTTTCGGCCTGCCCGTACTTTGGTTCTTCTTTCATCTCTTATTGGTACTGGTGCCCAGTTGGCAATGCTTGTACTCCTGGTAATTTTGTTGGCGATTATTGGAACATTATACATTGGGTATGTACAAACTTGGCTTTGAACCTGCTAAATGGAGTTTAAGTTAATTATTGATTTGAAAATTAATACTCATTAATTAGTATAGTGAAAAGAAACTGCTATTACAGTCAATATGGAGAGGTATACTTGTACACTTAGTTTCAAGGATCATGCATACCAACCATGACATATCAACCATATATGTTGGTCCTGACATATCAAACCTATCAGTGTATAGTATGATAAGATCCTAGCATGTCTACGTATCTTGGTTTTTTAAAATCAAAACCTAGCTGGTACGGGAATTCAGTGTTCATGCACACTTTCACTCTCACTGACTTAAATTTATGGTAAATCATTGTCGTTTATTTGCAATCCATGTAAGGGTATTCTTTCTGGGAAAAGGTTGACTTCAAATTTGCCGCATTGAGCTGACAATCTAGATATTGTAAGATTGATTAGTGTGCACAATTGTGTTTTGTTTAACCTATTTTACAGGCTTTTTAAATGTGATCTTAAAGCTACTGTCTTTAACCATCTGACCAAATATCAAAAGCCTCTGTCTTTGCATTATGGGTAGCTGGAACTCATTCTATTTCATGTCGGTGGTGACAACTGCCAGAATTGCGAGTTTTTCCTTGTTTCAACTTTAAACTCACTGCCTCCTGTTTGTGATCAAGCGATTTCCAAAATTTTGACATCTGAGTTAAAATTTTAAAATTCACATTCTTGAATTGGGCCAGTTGACAGCTGAACTTGAAGTTGTTTGACTTTGGCTTGCTTTGTATCTGAATAATTACCTAGTGTCAACCCTCATCATTTATCTTTTTATACTTATCATTATTTACTAGTCCAAAGTCCTACAAATGACTATGCTCCATAGATATCTTCTCCATTTTGGATAATGTTGTATCTTTTTTATCTGTAGGCCACTTGCTACAGTATTGAAGCCTTTCCTTCCATGTATCAGTGAGTCTAGTCTTACCTGCTGAAACTGCATCTTCAAAATGACAGTTTCCTGTGATGATATAACTGAATGTATAAAAATTCTCCTTTTGGTTCTTCCATTTAGTTAAAAGTTGTTAATCCCTCTGTACTTGCTAGAAAAACCTCAAGGCTCCAGTACATGCTACCTTAATTGAATTTACCTTTGGTCGGATTTGGTTTCATGATCAAGCACTATCCTCATGGTGATCAATTGACTATGAAAGCATTTTCCTGTTTTACTTGGTGCATGGAGCAACCATGTAGATATAGAATAACAATAGAGATACAATCTGCTGGTTCATCTGATGTCTAAGGTATAGCCGAACAACATTGTGCCACCATGGAGGGCAGGGATCTTTAGCAGATCCAAACTTTGTGTGTGACCTTCTCAATGTTGCTGCACAATGGTCAGTTCATTCTATGTGTCAGGGCAAGTCGTAGGCAGATTAACTAATTTGTTTCAAAACACTAGGGCATTAAACAAAATCAGCATATGGTCTGTAGGTAAAGTGCAATTCTCATAACATAACTATAAAATCTGGACGTAGCATCAGCACCTGTATTCTTTCTTGCCAGTTGCCATTACTATTCTGTTTGGAATCATTATTCGCATCACAATGCCAATTTCTGATTCTTTGTTTTGGGTCATCATGATCTGTTCTCATTTGATGTTATCAGTCTTGTAAATGTGAAACACAAGTGTAAATTAATTCCTAATAAGACATGTCTGTCTTATATTTTAAAATAAAATCAAAATTATTGAAGTACCAATCAATTTGAAAGCATATTATTAAGTTGAAAGCTTTGTAGATATTTGTTATCATTGTTTTAAGTTCAGTCAACTTCTAAAATATTGCATGTGAACCAATAATAGAGTTTTGAGCATTAGCATGCTTCTATTATTATAAATTTTGGATTGAAATTTTTATCTAGTAATTTATGACCCATGGCATGTGTCTAAAATTTTTCAATGCTTTTTTGGTAATAGCATTGATTATTTAGCCTTCAAGAATAAGCTTAGAATCTTTTAGCTGCTGGAACACTATAGTATAGTATTTAAATTACTAAGGCGATTTGGCACATATTTGATCCAATATAGCAAATCAATTAACATTACCTGCCATGTATTATGAGCCGAACTAAATGGCTTATCCAATCACCGTTAATGTACAACAGTCCAGAAAATTTGAGGTTCCAGTTGTTATGCTGGCTCTTTAGGTATATCTACCGGATTCATGATCTTATAATTGTTCAAATGTGTAATTGGCTGTATTTTGTGTTGGTCCATTATCAGGATCCTTAATACATTCATAATTATTCGATTACTTGCAGAGAAACATCTCTTTGGTGTCACATGTCACATGAATTATAACATAAAATTCTCTTTGGAATAATGCCTTATTGAAGGTATAATGTGCACATAGTGCCTGTATATCTTGCAGACTTAGTAATTGAATCATTTCTGTCTCATCCAGCATCAATATTGCTGATTATGGATATAATATGTTTTTTTTCCTCTGCTAAAACTAAAATGTATTTCTAGTTATTTGTTTGAGTATCATCTTTTATTCAGAAATTGCATGTTTTTCTTTAGTCATTCACATCTTGATCGTAACAATTACCCTTGCTATCAATTATTTCTTGTTGGCCAGGCGAGGATCTATCACTACAACTTTCATAGTCTGCTATGCTCTTACCTCATTCATTTCAGGCTATGTCAGTGGTGGACTTTACTCACGTAATGGTGGTATGAATCCTTTCAAATGGAAGTCCTTTTAGTTTCCTTGTAACATGTATTGAAATTCAATAAAATGATTTCTTTGGAAATTGAGAAGCTTCATGGTACAGATCCAGAAGTACTTTTACACTCACCCAAAAATTTGGGATTTTAAGTTTCAGTGACTGCTTCTGTCTGAATGGTATCTCTGGTTCATTGGCAGGTAAACATTGGATAAAGTCTATGATCGTCACAGCATCATTGTTTCCATTTATGTGCTTTGGGATTGGCTTCATACTTAACACAATCGCTATATTCTATGGATCACTAGCAGCTATTCCGTTTGGGACGATTGTTGTTGTGTTCATATTATGGGCTTTCATCTCATTTCCACTAGCACTTTTAGGCACCGTTGTGGGTAGGAACTGGAGTGGTTCACCAAACAATCCATGCCGTGTAAAGACCATTCCTCGTCCTATCCCTGAGAAGAAATGGTATCTTACACCTTCTGTTGTTTCACTAATGGGAGGACTGCTTCCATTTGGTAGCATCTTCATTGAGATGTATTTTGTCTTCACATCATTCTGGAATTACAAGGTAAACTAGATCTACTTTGTAGAATTACACTCACCATAAATACTAGCTGTTGGTATTTATCAATCGAGGATATGCTGATTCTTTAGATGAACTGTTGCGTACTGAACTTTTTGTAACTTTTGCCATTGGAAATTTTGATCAGTCCTGTTATTTATTTAGTCCATTTGAAAATTTTTTTCCAGTTTATTTAAACTGGAAAAAATGTACATGTGCAGAAATAAAGCACCTATTTAATCTTTTTACATGTTTTGCTTGGGCAGGTATATTATGTGTACGGCTTTATGTTACTGGTCTTCCTGATCCTCATAATTGTCACCATTTGTGTGACTATAGTGGGTACATATTTCTTGCTTAATGCTGAGAACTATCACTGGCAGTGGACTTCATTCTTTTCTGCTGCTTCAACTGCCGTCTATGTTTTCCTTTACTCTATATATTACTACTATGTGAAGACCAAGATGTCAGGCTTTTTCCAGACTAGCTTCTACTTTGGCTACACTTTGATGTTTTGTCTGGGATTAGGGATACTTTGTGGTAAGTTTGTCTAAATATCTGATCTTTGAAATGTGCTTCCGAGCTTTCTGAATTGTTGTATTTCTGACTTGTGTTCAAAATTCAGGTGCCGTGGGTTATCTCGGCTCTACTTTATTTGTGAGAAGGATTTACAGAAACATAAAATGTGACTAGCCCTAAAACACAACCAGAAGACCGATATCATATGCTGGGCCACAAAATTTTGAAACAACCAGAAGGCCAGGGTGAAAGGTGGGTTTGCTGGTGGGAGGAATTGCTAGCTCTGTTTCCCTCCTGTTTTGGACTTTGCAGGATGTCACATTTTTCTTTCCATTGCTTTCCGCAGTAGCCTCTCAATGTGCTTAATCTAGTTAATAAATAACTTGGTCTACTTCCAGCACTTTTCTTTATCATGTACTTGTGACATTAGTGACAAAGCAGGGCCATCATCCAGTGGTGGCTACACATGTAACTCATTATAGTAGGACACTCTTGTGGTAGAAGTTATTGTCATTTATTGAAGTATTAAGAAGGTTACAAATGGAGGATCGAGAACCTTTTCATCACAGTTTGCAGCATTCTAGAATCTACATCTCTTAATTCTTCTAGCACTGTAAATTTTGTGCTGTGTCATCTCTGAGTTGATACATATGTAGAAGCATTTTGTTATATGAACTTTGAAAGCATGTCAGCTTCAATATCGAAATCATAGTCATCACAGTTATGCTATGAAAAATTCTTCTGGGAGTTGCTATTCCTCTGCACTCGTAGCGTTTGCATTGTAACACAAGGTATGATATCTTGTCCTGTCTATATACTGTTCATGTAGTTAAAGTTGAATGACCTGCCACCTGAAAGCAACGCAAGCTTGGAAAAGTGTGGTTGAATGAATGCCTTCAGCATCTAAATGCTACTCTGACGCAATTCCCTTGTGCATGCTTTTGTCATATAATATCAAGGTGTATGGATTTGATTTACTATTATGGAACTCTTTACATATATGTCCTTTCAAAATTAGGAAACAGTGTATTTGTTCTATCAAATTCTGATGACATTTATACCCCTTCAAATGTTATTATCCATTGAGAAAATTCAATTTATTTGAGTTAAATGTCATGTGAATTTTCAAAACATCTTACTATTAATTTATGAAATGAGTTATATTAGTTATTTTTTAATTTTCTGGTGACAGTTACATTTTAGTATTAGTTGTCATATTTACAATATATGTATATATATATATATATATATATGTAATTTTGTCTAATTATTGCTTATTGTTAAATGGTTCAAGTTTTCTGTGTAGTGACTTTGCTGCCTATCTAAAACTCAACTATTTATCTTTCTTTCTGTCTGCAAGAAGGTTAACTAACTAATATTGTTTAGGCAGCTAAAACTTGCTTTTAGCCCACAAGGTTTCAGATTCATCCTCCTATAATTGTTTGATGGACAGTGACTTCTCTTTTGACCGGTCCACGTGCGCAGCTCGAACCAGCCACGCGGCCAGGGTGGCCCCGGCCAAGCGGATGAATAGGCTCAGGCCGTGGGGGCCTCGTGCTGGCGTAGTCACCTGCAATGCGTATGACTGGTTCAGGGCCTATGTGGGCCATTCCAATGCGGCCTAGCACCATGCAGTCGTTGGACCAAGCCTTTGGAACCTAATAATGGGCCAGACCGTGGCCCACAGAAGCCTGACGCCGAAGCCCGACGGCAGGCCGGCCCAAACCCTCTTCGGTAGTTCTGTAGTTCGTGTGAAACAAATCAATTTGATCGTTTAATTTAAATTAAATCTAATCAAATACAAATTAAACTGTTCGGGGATTATTATAGATCGATTGACTTAGAATTAGAGACTTGTTCAATTACATCATAGTTGAATTTAAGTCCGATTCACGTCAATCGGACCATTCTAGTTGAGGATCAACTAGTTGATTGAGGATTGTTTAGAGATTGATACCTTTTATTATTTGATAAATTTAGAAAAAAATTATTTGAAATTATGATTCTAAAATGATTAATAGTTTACCATTATTTTGATGGAATATCAAGTTATTAGTTGTTAGATAGCAAACACATTTGTGTTCGTCGAAATAATAGGAAATCTTGAAAACCAAAAAACTAAAATATACTTAAGCTATCAACTAAGTATTTATCAAATAAGATGTCAAAGTGGCAAATATAGTAGATCTTCTTCCTCCGTGAATAAATCATCCGACTCCTCAGAAATATAGTGACACATTCTTTGAGACTATGTCAGGTGGTAGTATCGTCCCTAGCAAGGTGCTAGGCGGTGGTACCGCCTGGACCTAAGAAACCCGGGATAAGATATTTTTAGGCTCCAAGTTTGAATCAACTTGAGGCCTATAAATACTCCTCTCATCCTTGGATAAAGCACACAATCACAGAAAATTTAAAGAAGGAAAAATGCTGTTGTAATCTCTTGTGAGAATCCTCCTCTTCTAGTCTAAGTATTAAAATTGTTTGATAGATGAGTGAGTAGTTATAAGAGTTATCTCCTAAACCCGATAAAAAAAGAATATGGGTGTAAGAAGAAGGTTGATTTTTGCCTATTAAAGGAAGATCGATAGTGGATATCGATGGCCTCTACGAAAGATGAATCGGTGGAGTAGATATAGGTCAATGTGGCATAATAAATACATGGAATGATAACTTTTTCTAAACTATGAAGAGTATAATAAATATACAGTGAGACAGAATTATCGTCGTATTGTGTAATAGAAGATGCTCTATTACATACGCCACCGCAGTAGCAGAGTACGAAGAAGAGTATAATATATGGTGAGACAATGATGCTCTTCCACGAAGCCTTTCATCTGGTTGACTTGATGAATTTAAATTCTCACCGGAATAGTCAACCACATGCGTTAGAGATGTGCCGTGGAAGATCGGACATCATCAAAGTCAAGTCAAAGGATTCCTCCTGTAGGGAGTTGAAGTTGGACATCATCAAAGTCAAGTCAAGGGATTCCTTGTGCCATGTTGCTCTCACCAATGAAGAACAGGTTTGTGTGCTGGTGGCCATTTGGTTACACCTGCTCCCTTTTGACTCCATCATCATCTTTACATCTGCACTCTTTTTTAATCTCTTTAAAAAGAGTAAGATTATTCATTTGTTGTAATCTCTTCATCTCTCTCTCTCTCTCTCTCCAAAAAAAAAAAATTCCAATTAAATTTCTTCTTAGCACACACAAAAGAAGTTTCTTAGCAGGTGTGGACGCAAATGTGAACACACACAACGATGACAAGGAGGTGTGTGTATGACTTGCACTTGTGTGTGTTCCTCGGGCCTTTGTGCGTGCAGTTGGTTCCCAGAATCGTGTTGAGAGCTGCGATCGAAGTCAGCTTGTGATGACGAAGGTTGGACATAAGCAAGCTTCCCGTCCATTGTTTCAAACAAGGATCAAAGTGGTCTTTGGATCAGATAATTGCTGGGAAGGAGTCTCGTGCTTCGGCTGGAGACACACGGGAAAGTGTTGTGTTCACACATGGTATGACTTATCTATCTCCGTTCCCGTTGGTCTCCATCAAATGACCACAAGTCAATCACCACCTCCTCCCACCAGCTGTTCTGCCCCGTAGTTCAAGTCCACGGAGTGCCACATCTGTCATATCCTCCCCGATTCCATTAATGAGACGGAGACACAAAATTCATGTCGCTTTCATGGATGTGTAGTCTGCTGCTTGCAGTGACGTCTCTCGGTCTTTCTCTCTATGTATCACATATATGGGTGAACCGATAGGCTGATGTCCTCCATTATATATATATATATATTGCTCTTCCTTTCCTTCTTCTCCTTCTCCGCCGGTTTGTGCGTGTGGTGATACAAAAAGGATGGCAGCAAAAGCGTGTCGGAGTAGAAACTCGTCGCCGGAGGTGAAGGTGCAGAGATTACCGCCGAGGAGGGGGGAAATCAAGCGACGAATTCTTGGTTCTCTTCTTGGCGTCATCCGTAGCTGCTTTCGTGGAGGGGCTTCTTCTTCGGGCGCCATTTCCTAGTATGTGATAGGGTGAGTTGTGTCCCATTAATATTATTATTAATCTGGTCTGGATGCGTTATTGATGTGTAAATGGTCGGTCTTGCAACACCATCTGAATCGCGTTACTCGACTGCCATGCCTACGACGAGAAGAGGGCAAACATTTATTTGATGAGCTCGTGTTGACCTTCACATAATTCCATCGGTCATGCACACAGCAGTCATCGCTCCTAACTAATATCAAGATCCAATATAAATAATTCCTAGCTCGACAGAATCAGAATCACAATATACTATTATTATTATTATTATTCCTCGAAGTTTCGAATACTAGATATATTTTGATAATAATATTTATATCAAAATGTATTTAAGGCAAGAAGACGCTTTCAAGTCAATGCATGTAAGTCCAGCTAAAAAAGAAATCCTGTGGAGATCGGAGGTGGTTTGGGCCAAGCAGCACCTGCTGCCCAAAGTCAAACACTCTGCGAATGCCCATCGATTCTAATTCCCATTGTGATCGCGATAGATGCTTCGATTGCAACCTTTTTCGATGGGTTTGGTATTGATTGGACAACATATATGCTTTTTTTGATCTGACGGATGAATAACAAATCTCAAATGCTCAACAACAAAAGTCTTTTTTCCTTACCCTTTCGATGAGATCTTAGTCTCGCCGGTGTTTTAAAAGTTCCCCATCTGAATGATCAACATTTTTATCACCAAAATTGTTGATTCTTACAACAGGCAGTTCTAAAAGCAAAGCAGAAACAAAACACGAGAACATCATCCTTCCAAGGTTTCATGCCATTCCAAGCACAAGGAGACTTGTAATCATCCACAATGATAATTTTACATAATGTTCACGTGTGCCTCTTTAACAAACATTTATACAAAAATGTCACTGACCAGCTCGACTTTCCAACGTTCTCATCCTCGGCACTGCCAAAGATGCTATCAGGCAAGGCTTGGAAATAAAACTCCAGCTGACGATGTGGTCATTTTATATTGAGATGAACTCCCAATAGATTAAAACCCTATCTCGACTTGCAAACAAAGCCCGCAGCTTCTGAATACCATGAAAGGCAGTCCACTTGGTGCATCCACAATCTGAAAAGAGTCAGAGATATGATACATTATAAATAGCATATGCTACGGACACAACTTAGTCAAGCCAAGACCAGCACTCCAATTAGATTTGCCAGCAAAGAAACAGCCAAAGGTTTTCACCTATGCAGGATTTTGAGAGGTTTTAACCAATGCAGAATACAGGGAGGTTTTAGTATTACCTATAAGTAACATTGGTTTCAAACCGGGCAAAATGAATTACCATAGCCAACTCAGTGGGCTCAAAAATTCCACCGATCAAGTTGCATCTTAGCTTCGGCCATATCCTTTTGTGCTTTCTTCCTTCGGTAAAAGATGGGGCAGTCACGACTGTCACAAAGAGACATCATCATTAGTTTTGATGAGATTTGGATGTTAAGAGAGCTGGAAGTGGCAGAAAATGACATGGAGACACCTTGTACACAACACATCTTGGTGAAGAGAACCTTGGCATTCTTGGCACTGTGTCCACAGTCTGCCGAAGAGCATCTCCAATTCGGAAACTGTAAACATTTCACACAAGTCACTTCATATCACAAACAATGCACAAAAGCATGCAGCCAGCAAAATTTGCACAACCAATTCAATGTCATCCCTTCTAAATTCAAACTCAAACACTTCAAGACAAAATCATTATTCAATGTAAAGGCTGTCAACAAGAGTTTACATGGGTGAGGCTGGCTCATTTTTATTATTTAAATATACTTCACGTTAAAAACTATAGCAAAACAGGATTTAAAGCCTTAATTATTTACTGCATCGAGGTTTCTAACATTAACATAATTTTTGCTCAAAGATATTAAAAAAAGGTAGAAAGAAATACCATTAGCTACCATTTTGCAGTATATCTCGGCTTCTCTTCCCTTGCAGTGCGAGCAAAGAGTTTGCTCTGCATTACTGGCAGCAAAAAATAGAGTTACCCGAGAGTTCTGAAGAAGACTAAGTCACAGACAATTCTTTCAGAAGTATCAAATTGTATATTGGTCCCTAGTTAGCTTCAAATTACATATATAAATCTAGAAAAGTTCAATTCTTGCATACACATTATTTTCTAGGTACATTTGAGAAATTGGACGTTGAGCATATACCCACTAGAGGAGAGTATATGTCTGAATAAATCACATTCAATTTTTCATTCCTAGATAAGACTGCTTATGCATACTTTCCAAACATAATTCATGGCTTGATAAGTGATCCGCATGCATGGTTATGCAGTTAAGCTCAATTTTCCATATTGAGCATGCAAATATTTCATAACTAGTGGGAATCTATTAACTGTAGGGATAATACTGTTCATCAGATGTGATGTGGATACAGAGATTAACTAGTTATTAAAACTTATAACACAAACATTTTGTGTTTTAACTAGTTAACGAAAAGCAAGATGTGCTGTGGATACAGAGATCAAGTCAGGCATGTGCAGAGGATTAGAAATCATCATCTGTAAATTCAGGAAGGGTGACTTTGTATGCGAATATCTAACCCGATTACTGCTTTGCATCCAAGACAGCTAAGCTGCTTCTTAGCAAATTTCATAATACCACTGTTTGAAGGAGTTGATATGGACACAGCTCTGGTGTGACTTCCATGAAGAAGCTCTTTACTTGCATTTTTCAGAATAGGCTCAAAGATTCTGAGAAGTGGCTGCAATGTTAACATACCTAATTGTCAATGCCCCGGATGGGAGGATATTTATCACAGATATTTATCAAGACAACAAAGAATTTATTTAGCCAACCTTGCTCATCTGATTTTCAAGGTAATACTGTGGATCTATTGGAATATTGTTCTCAAGCACATATATTGGATCCTCAGACTTCTCATAAGCCTGTTCAACACATCAAGCAGATCAATAAATAGAACTTCTCTCCCTTCTAAAAGAACAGGATATTAATTACCTTGGCACCTTTAGCAGCTTTGATTATGACATATGGAACACGATCTCCAACATTAGGAGCAGTTGCAGCATCCCTCTATTCACCACAACCACCACAGTTGCTTAGATATGTTGCTTAAAGAGTTTATATTGGTGAACTTGATAAGATTACATATCAGTTAAACAACAAATAGCAGAAATATCTAGTTGTATCATTTTTAGGGTCTGCATATAGGTCAATGAAAGACATACCAAGGAATATAAAACATTTGATGAAGATGATCGACAGTCCACTAATATACAGACTAAGCTTGTAGTAATAGCTTTCTGGGCAATGCCAATAATTGAAAATGCTATTATTATCATTTTTTTGTTTACTTCACCAGCTTGATATTGCTAATCTTCAACCATTTTCAAAAGCTTAAGCAGATATTAAAAGTCTCATCCTCATAATGCTCATCAAAAGATTGTCTGAAAATGGCATATTTTAGTAACTTCCTTGTGCTTGGCTTCAGCAACCTCTCACTAGTATAAGAATCAGTCTAATACTTATCTGCATGTATGCCACGAAGGAGATAAATTTAAATGTTTCCTAACCACAAAAATGTTTGATAGCATTTTCGCTAAAATTTTCAGCTCAATTCATCTTTAGTTTGTTGAATTTCTAGACAGATAAAAAAGGCATTTTTTTCTCAGTAGAACTCCCATGTGAATCCAAGAAGAGCATATGAGATGGCAGTATAACACCTTTCTTGGGATACATAAAATATGGACAGCATCATTTAGTAAGTCATGCATTTCATTACTTTGTATATCATATTCATTAATATGATATCCAAAGGCATCATCTAATAAGGAACAATTATCTCCTTCATTAACATGTCACTGTTAATTTCCCTGATGCAACATTAATACCAAACAGTTTACAGCTTCTATAGGATCGTAAACATGCATAAATGCATATATAAATGTATATTTTTTTGCACATTCTCAGTTCTGAGAAACATGGAATGTCGGTTATTTGGTAACGTGTATATTAGAAGTCTCCATAGATAAATCACCAATACACATGAATGGCCTGTAAATCTCCTTTTCTATTGGTTGAATATGATGCTAGATATTGCCCGTATTTGGAATGCATGAAACTCCCTCTTTCAAGGTGTATGTATATATATGCACTGCATACGCACCATAAAAGAAACCATGCTGAATGCTAATTGTGCTCTTTTAATCACGTTATCAAAAAAATGAAAAAATGACAATTCAAAATCAGCCAAGATAACTAGAAGGCCTCATACTTTTCTCATCCTTTCAGCAAGTTCAACATGTGCAGCCTTTACGGCATAATCATCTCCTGTTTTGGTCAAACCCTGTTAAAGAAGAGATCAAAAAATAAAAATCAGATACCTGATAGTATAAATTAAGTTTTTTTAACAAATAAATTGATAGTAATGACTCATCACAGATAACACAGTTAGAGAGCATTCTTTCAAATACGTGCTAAGAACCAAAATAAAATTCTTCCAGTTTTTTTTAATAATTTACATGCAATATATTAAATGGCATACAAGACATTTTCGCATGAACTTGAACATGAGACATATCAACTCTTTCGGTTGGTAATTACCTTTGTTATAACCAAAAGAGACAAATCCACACGGTTCATTAAAAGATCTGAAATGGTATTTTTAACATACTGAACTGCACCAGGAACATCTCGGTCTATTAGTATCTTGTGAAGACACTCATTTACCAGATTTTTAACCAACAAACAGTTGTCTCTTCTGACAGTCTCAATGCCTGCCATCAAAGCATGCAATGTCATCAGACCACGATAATATAAAATTTAATGGAGCACTTCAGATCCTTACCTTTGGTGTCCATTTTGTCAAAAGTATCAGGCTTTGTCCAGTACAAGCCAGCATATCTCTTCTTGCTTATTAGCAAGTAAGGATAGTAGACCTTTTCGAATTCTAGCCTGATGGGCTTCAAGAAACAAAGAAAACATATTCAAAACTGGCCAGGATTAAGATGGACTAACTAAAACAGTTCTATAAGAAAATAAGTTTAAAGCCTAATACGGTGGCTGTTGTCCCTCCAGATGACAAGATTGACCAATATGTTCACTGATAGCAATCAAGTCTATTATAAAAATCAAACATAACATTTAGAATACAGAAGCATAACTTAGGTCCAGAGGTCCATGGTTTGCATATCACATGATATGACATAAGGCTGAAAGAAACTACAGGAGAATCATATGATCTAAGAGCATAAAAAACTCGGAAGTGATCACCGGTGATCCCATTGATACCTTTATGAAAGTCCCAGAAATATATTCTGCTGCTTCTCTTCCTAGTTTCATTGCTGCCTCTACAGTTGGCTCACCAAATTGTACCATAACAGAGTCGGTGTCTCCGTAAACAACCTAGAAGAATATATCACTTGGTAATCAACTAAAATAAAAATGTCATCAAATGATCAGAATTTCAGTTTTCCAAAAACATGTAAGCACAAATGCATATAGACAAATTTGTCATGAAAGTAATATGGAATTATGGATGAACAACATCAGCTTTGTTACACATTTTGGCTTATAAAGCCAAAGCAATTCATCTTCAGAACCACCTTAAATCATTTGGTGATATCCTGTTTAACATAACAACGGACAAAAATTTTAGACATTATGTCAGCTCGAAACTACTAGTTCATGGTTACTTGTTTCTGCCTTAGCATACTTTTACACAGTATGTCTATCAGGTTGCCACTCAGCTATATTATTTCATAACTCCATGTTAAATAATTAACTGGATATGATCATCATTGTCTCAGTAGGTGAGTGTTGTCTCAGCAGAAAGTGTGGCTGTTGTCCATGCATTATGGTGCCAAGCCTAGAAAATCTGCTGGTTAAATGGATCAACTCACAACCAAAGGCCTTCGAACTTCAATGTGACTGAGGCACTGCATGGGCTGGTCATGTGCCATATGCACACAATCATCAAACAAAGTGCAGCTAAGAAGAAACTAGGTTCCCACAAACACATTATAAACCAGTAACATATTTATTAATTCCTTGCATCTCACAGCCACTTTTACTAGAAGTGGTCGACTTCTTCTACAATCATTTTTGTGATGACATAAATTTTCTTTCTAGTTACTGCTTGATTTGAATTTCTTCAATTTGTTCATAAACTAGTCATAGCAACATTATTTCCATAGTCCAAATCTCCTTGAAATATCCATAGTGTCACATAAAGGGATGAAGCATGTTTCTTCACCAATTGCACTGAAATATGTCAGAATTGATTATTAAAGAAAATATCCATGCCAATTAAAACCACACTCAGTTTTGGTGCATGGTGATAGCATATACTGAAATTAATTTATTAAAAATCAGCTGCATGAAGAATTCTCGTATGTGGGCAGCATCATACGGCTTGACATGAAAAAGACCAAAAAGGAAAGAAAATTAACCTCGCTGCATTATAAAATAATGCAGCACCACTGACACAATTCAGATCCCTCAGAAAAAAACTTGTCATGCTAGCTGAAAAATCATTCCTTTCTGGAAATTTTCTGACTTCACTAAAACAAGTCACATGATTTGAATGCTCAAATGAGACAAAATATTTTTTGAGGAATAAAGTGAAATAACCCTGATTTAAATTAAGGTTTTCCTATATAAAGAATTAATTGAGCAGATTTTCCCCAATTAAACAAAGAAAGAAGCTAGTTGAAGAAACTTGATAAGTCTCTCCATAACTTGATAAGTTATGTAGAAAATATAGCATCCAAAACAATCCTAATTGTTACAACCATACATCTAATTTAACCAACATGATAATTTTTAAGACTAAAAACTAAGCAGTAGTAGCTCAGCAAAGTTCTGATTCTCTCGACTAAAGCACCAATTGTATTATTGCTCCCATGTGTGACCAATCCTGAGATGAACACACAAAATGTTCTACACAAGCACTGCCATGTTGACCCAAGAGCATCGATGTAATAATGTACATCACTCTTCTATATGTCAGAAACTTTTTCTCTTCATCTGAAAAGACCCTTTCCACTTTTAATTAATTGCTAATTTACTAACAGAATCTATCTTCCTGAGCATTCATATATTGGGAGATATCACTTCAGTACAAGAAGCATGCCAATTAGCAGACAGTTGAAACAAAGTCCATCAACAAAAAGAAATGAACCCACAACATTTATGCAATGCAACAGTGAAGCACAGCATAACAATAAGCTTTATTAAGATCAAATACATGTACCAAGAAGCATTCAGTAACCATGAGTTCATGAATAACTAGATTAAATCATAAACAAGTTCTGCAAAACCTACAACTATATTATCCTCGCTTCAAACCACATAGTGAATTACAATTTCATCTTTTTAAAGTCAAGCTAGTTCAAAAATCATACCTCTGCATTACGATCATAGCCCCCACTTATTGTAAATTTTTCTTCTACCAGCTTCTTTGTATGCTCAATCATTTGTCGACCTTTATATTTTCCACCAAGAAAAACTTATGGACTAAGAAGCAAAACCTTTCTACTTATATTGCAGTAACTGTAAATAATTAACAAATATTTTTTATTAAGTTACAAATTTAAAAAGTACTAGTATGAGGAAGAACTGTTTACCATAGCTCGTCACACTTGAAGATATCTCTAAACAAGGTAACTGACCAATAGTAGCTCCAGTAAACCCATATACAGAGTTTGCACTTATCTAAATGACAAACAAAAAACAAAAATGACAAACAAAGCCAACGTTGATTTATCATCTTGAAATAAAATGTTAATGATGAAATTAAGGTGATTTACTTTCAAAGCCAACTGCCGTCCATCTAGTACAGCCTTCTCAAAAGGATCTTTTGCTTCCTGAAAATAAATATCCAAAGGTTAAAGAAGATGATCTATGGCAAGAAAATTTGTTCAACATTAGCATGCAGGAAGTTCAAAATCAAACAAGGCATCAAAAATTGATAAATATGTAAATCCCATGCAAAATCAAATGAAATATTAGAAGTGTGATCAGAAGTCCACAAATTTCTTCATCCCTTAACAATACCTTCAAATCAGCTTTTGCTCTTTTACGAGCAGCCAATAGCTCTTCTAGGATTTCAGGAAGTATGCCCTAGTTTCAAAAAAGAAAATTTTCCATGTCACCGCATGGGACAACAAAGAAAGAGAGAATACAAAGGATTAAGTCATAAATCTGCAGACTTAGACCAAAGAGAAATCAGCACCTTCTGCAACTCAGATTTAACAAAGACTTCACCTGAGGGGGTTTTGTTTATACTCTCTGCTGGCAGGTTTAGCCTGCGAGCATCTTCTGCAGTAACCTTGACAAAATAATAGAATCGGAACATCTTAGATATTTTAACCAAATAAAATTATTCTTAGACAAGGCTATAATTCCAATCAGCAGTCAGTTTCCTTGGCACAATTTATTACCAGAGTGCAGTAGCACAAATTGTATGCCATCATGATGGATGGATACAAAGAAGCAAAGTCCAAAGTTGCTATGGGCTTTTCATAAAATCCAGTCTTTGCCTCTAAAACCTGCAAATGGAAAGCCAAGTAGCTAAAGGACAAAGGGATTGATCAAGTAAACAAACCAGCAGTTTCATTATAAGTTCAAACAAATTTTTACAATTCAAAAGATGTGAAATAACTCCTACATCTTTAATTATGAGCAAAGCAAGCATGATAAAGGAAGAAAAAAATTAACAGATACTAGGCAGATAACTTTTTAAGTAATATGATGCAGTGGATAGGGCTGAATAAACTGCCAAGTCCCTGTTTATGAACACTTACCAGAAATGGCATCTGTAAGTGAATTTAGAAAAGGTTAAGGTTAGCAATCTCAATATCACCAACAAATGATAGCCAAATGATCTTACTTGTGTGCAGACAAATCTGGACAATTATTATCATACACATTGCCAGTTCATTACTTAATTAAAATCAGTGATTTGGATGCGACATGCAGCACCACAGCTTGTCAACTGCATTATTCAACACATGTCTCTTCTACCGTTCAACCTTTTCTAATGGATGTGTTATGATATTAATGACCACAAAATATTTCCATGCATCATAAATATGTAAAAAGAAAAAGTTTATACATGGAATAAACAAAAAACTATTCCATGGTTTTATCATTTATGATAACTCCTAAAAGAGTATATGTCCCATTATGGCATTAAGCTATTTCATGACCAGATAGTTTTAAGTTTTTTGGGGATGTTCTGAAGACCATCATGTCATGCCATGACATGATAGAAGAAGCTATAATTGGGGCAGCAAGATAAACACTAATTTATGGAACCTCTACACATAAGAAGATCAATTTTTTTAAGAAAAACATGGAACCATGCAACTAATGCATTGGATTAACAAAGAAAGCAAGTTAGATATGAGAACTTACAGCATATTACTCTCTAGAGTCTAAATGAATGTTTCTTAATTTCAGATGTACATATCACGATGAAGATTGATGTGACAGCAATCAATAAGACTCTTGCTTGCAATCTTTTCCAATGGTCTCCAAATTTTATTGAATGAGCTCACAAAAGTAAATTAACACCATAATATGCTCAAGTAGCAGAGGGGGGAAAAGACATGCCACTAAAATTATATTTACTTACAGTTGCACCCTCGAAAGTTTCTTGTCCAGATCCCTGCCCTTTGATATTTGGAATAACAAGATTCTTCTGCTTTGCTTTCCTTAGGAGTTGAGAGAGAACCTGAAAGAAAAAGTAATCCAGGTCAGTGCCAATTATTGTCTTAGCAAATATAAGAGCAAAAACATCAGCAGCATCACCTTAATGCTCTGGCCTCTTGCTAGTAGAAATGATATAGGGACACCAGTAACTCGGGCCATTTCTACATAGTTGTAAATATACATCAACTTGTCCAGAAGTCTCTGTGGAAGGTACGCATCCTGCATTTGTAACAGATAAGTTGTTCAGTGAATAACATCACATAAAAACTTTGCACACTAAACCTGAGGCAGTAAGAACCACTTAGATGATTATAACCAGTTCTCCTGAAGTTATGCCTAATATCCAACCATATGATGGTGCAGAAGGGTTAAAGTAATTGTTTTGTTGGCAATTAACATGAATTATGAATTATGGTCCATTCCATTCTGTTCAACACTCCTAACTGAATCTTAATGGTTCCTTTGAAAAAGGAACACCCACACCACATGCACCACTGGTCGACAACTTATGTTTGGTAGGGGTAAACGAAGCTTGAGAGGTAGAGAAATGAAAAAAGAAACATAAAAGCATTCTGCATATGAAGAAACAATATATTAGCTAGACAAGTATCATATTAAATCAAATTTAAAATATGTAGAGCTTTTCAATAGCTTTCGGAGACATATCTGGTACTAATGATTTAAGAGTTCTACTTATTCTTCACATGAATATGCAACATTGCATATATGCCCTGTCAAAATTCTAGAATTATATATCTAGTCCAACAAAATCTTAGGTATGGATACTAGCATAACATTATTATATTAAAATTTTCAAAAGCTCATCATCTCGCAAACTATAGCAAAAAATTACTTAACCAAAAGTTAGTATGGTATGAAGAATCTAAATACTTAAAATAGCAAAAAATTATAGATATATAACCAAAAATATTACTGTAGCATCAAGGAAAGGATTAATAAAAAAAGTGAATTTGTGCACAGTAGTTGCATGCAACAGACAGCACCATGACACCAAGTGCCCCCGCACCAGCAGGGCAGGGCACATGGCATGCACAATGCCAGTCAGCAGATTGTGTAAACAAATTCCTTGATTAATGTTTTAGCATGGTATAGACAAAATTGTGTATGTAAAGCTTCATGTATTTCTTTAAGTACAGCCTATTAAAAAAGATTAAGCACTGAAATAAAGCATATCTCAGATATAGATGATTAAAAATCATCAGTGAACCTTCAAACAGTAGACAGCTAGCCGCCTTCTTGTCTCTGCGTTGCCATTTTGAAGGTCAGATATTATTGAATGATGAACATCCTCTTTCTGCAACAAAAGAAATGTCAGTGAGAAATCCAAGTCTGCAGAAACTTGATGGCAACATTTAGCACTTCAATTATTTACATTATTTACACAAAAAAGACTGAGCATACACAAGTTGGAAAATATGCAAATCACCCCTCCCTGAACAGACACTGCATGGTCCATAGGCATAATGTCTAATATCCACTATTTACGGCTAGGACTACTAGGGTATCTTCCCTTTTTACATGTGAAAAATATTATGGGTAGCAATAAGCTTATGTCAGATCTACAGAGAACTCAGTGGTAAAAGGTATCAAATATAGCAAGTAAAGCTCGAGAGATCTAAATTGATTTTCTATGAGAAAAAAAAAGATCAATTACAGATGAACTAGAACTTGAGTTTTTATCTTTCTTTGGATAGGTCTAGGAGTCATATTCCCATCATCCTTGCAAAAGCTAATTATAGTTATGGTCTGCTGCTACTACAGCTTAACGAGCATCAGCACAATCTTAATAGTAAAGAAGAAATACTGAATCTAAGTCAAAGAGGTCAAAAGATTTAGCAAGAGATACCAAAATCTTGAATATAGCAACTTTCTATTTGTCATATAAGGTGCTTTTGCGAAAAAAAAAAAAAGCAGCATTAGAAAGTTAAGAAAGTAAAATTTCATTAAGCAGCAGTCTTGCAAGAATTGGATACCCTTTTTTATAATACATTGCAACAGAAGCTACAACTCAGTGAATCAGGAAATCAAATGAAGAAGCATGTAAGATATCAAATGAGGAAGAATGTAGAACTTCAAATGAGAAAGCATGTAGGTTGCACATTCTAAAATATTTACTCGAAATAATACATGAATATACTCAACAATCAACAATGTTTGATCTGCATTTTCTCAGCATCGTCAACCAAAGATTTGGAAATATCAAGCAAAACAAGTAATAAGTTCCAAATAGTTAGTTTTAGATTGATTAATGCAAGGCAAAAAAGTAATATTTCACTAATGAGTGATACGAGGAAAATCGAAGATACAGATCAAGAATCAAGATATTAAATAACTGTTAAATACATTTTTAGATAGATTTACATGATACACTAAAAGAGTAGCAATTGTAAGTTGGTAACTGCACCTACAACCAGAATAGTTGCTTTCTTGGAACTTGATTTGAATAAACCTAAATGGTCAATTTTGAATTGCAAATGATGAAACAGATTCCTGTTCATGTTATAATGTGATAGGAAGGATAGGACCTCACTCTGAATTAATACAGAATAGTCGGTAGAAGCTGATCTACTGCAGAATATTTGTTAATTACTGCTGCCCACTGGCTTGTTTGGTTGGCCAGCAGAACAGAGGGGGCAAATTGCAAAACCAAGCTATGTTATGCAACTGTGGATAAGCATTCCATTGTCTACAAATAAGGCATAGGGAGCAACAAGATGTTTATGCACTACAGCTACTTTCCAGTTGAACAGTTATATACAATCCTACATCAGATTTATGATATAATACAATGAACATAAGACAAAATAATATAAGTTCAATTATAATCACTTGAAAAATGGCAGAAACTTACTTGCTCTCCAAGAAAGTGTGCTGAAACAGAATTCAAAGAATAGGAGCTAAGCTTGTAATCTCTTTGCATAGCCTTTATTGATGTGGTTGAAAAAAGATTGAATCAGATAGTGCACAAATACGAATATCTTACTATAGAACTTAAATAGATATTAACATAACCAACAGAAAGTATTTATAAAGATCAGAACCTGAAGCAGATCAAATTGAACTCTTCCCTCCACCTTAACTTCTTTGCTTTCCCTTACACCATATTGCCTGCAAAAATCAAAGTATGATTAATGCAGTACAACACAGAAACGATTTTAAAATTCAGCATATATTTGCAGGGCTATTACAGAGTAATTTGATTGAAGGGATTTCTTAGTCAACATAATTGTCCACACAGCAAAATGTTGGCAAATTTATATAAGAGAAACCTCATGCTCAAAAGTTTCAGTTTCCAAGTTTAATAATTCGACTCACAAATTCTTATCAACTAGCACACTTGTTAATATAAAAATAGTATGCGTCATGTGGTCTATGTCATTATGCGATATTATTGTCAGTTCCACCAAATGCCACCTCTCAACGTATGCCACCTCTCAACATAAATCCAAATCTAAGTTAGATACAAACACCCAACAAATGCCAAGTTAAACTGGTTCTTCCTCAACTTCACTCGAGGATGATAGAAAACCAAGATACACAAAGATAATTCATCTAAAGCTGGCTGACTTCTGATGATCACACAACACCATGTTCTCATGATTAGTTGATAAACCTTCAAAAAGGATGTACACATTCATAACATCCCAATTCTTTTCAAATCTTAACCTAAGTCAATGTAGTTTCTGAAGATCTATCTGGATCAGTAAATAAACCAAGTTGATAAAATTTGTTAAAGCTTTGCAAACCATAAGAGTACATCAAGACTCAAAATTTCTTGCCAATTTGTACATCAGATCTTTTGAAGGCAAAAATAACAGTCACTATTAATCCTTTTACCACCATGAATAACTAAGAGAATGAGAAGATAAGAAGATGAGACCAGAAACTATTAGACTAGCAAAGCAGGGACAATATTTGCGTCCCATCTACAACCAAATTTAATATGGAAAAACATAATGCATGATTATGAAGCCTAGCAAAGTGGAAAATTTTATTGACCAAAAGCACCTGTTCTAGAAATGCAAATGATTAGACAAGACAATTGTTGAGATTCCTCTACGTCAACCACCAGCTATAATGGTTTAATATTGGCAATGAGATGCACCAAGTGGGCTACAACAAAATGAGAGTGAACAGTAATAAATACAAAGGTTGTTAAATGGACATACAACAGCACCAAATGCAGGAGATATTAGCCAAAGCCAAACATTGTATTATGTCAAAATAAGAGACAGATATTAAAAGTAAAAAAAAAACACTTCATATAATAGTTGTAGATGTATATGCTGTAGCCATAGCTATGCACAACCTGGATGAGAAAGTTGTATCTCGGACACGAACCCGACTGTTTCTTATGCGACCAAGTATTGGAAACTCACCAATCTTAAGGGCTTCAGCTCTCTAAGGACAAGAAGATGAAAGAACAGTAATACATGAAGATGTGATCTATAGCAATAAATTCTTTAACCAACTTACAAGAATATAAAGTACCTCAATAAGATATGGCAGATCAAATTTGCAGATATTGTAACCAATTATAATATCAGGGTCTATCTCACGAACAAAATCCTGCATTGAATATATATTAAATTTTCCAAAAAGATTGTGTGATAACTCCATGAAATTCCATACGCACAACATATAGGGAAGGCAATCACATAAACCAATCCAAATAGGAAAGACACTGCTAGTGTGAATAATGTTAAGGCATGCAGATAACAGTATCATGTATGCTTTACTAAAATGTCATATGAAGAACATAAAGTAGCTTACCCTCCAAGCAAGCAAAACCTCTCTCTCTGTATCAAATGACATCACATCAACTCCAACGATTGGAGAACACGATTTAAGTGTCATTACATTTCGTATGAAAGGGTGATCATCTCCTTGAAGGGTGACCAAGTTGGCTATCTGCTTAAAAGAAGAAAAAGTAGTTAAAGAAGGAAAATTAAGTCAGTGTTTTATGAGACTCCCACTAAAATAAGCAAGCAAATTTCATGTCGATACACTTTTTTAGTACCATCAGAGGCAAAAGGAAAGACCTGAATAACAGGATCATGAGTTGGCTCAGGAAAGAGTCCTTTACGACCAGCACACTCAATGTCAAAACTTAATATACGAAATGGAGCCATTTTAGAGTATTCACCTTCTGGGGCATGACTAATCAACTCAGAATATCTATAAAAGGATTAAGGAAAGAAGATAACCAATAAAAATTATTCTTTGGTCGAATTCATTTTTATGTCCAATAGGATACAAGCAATCAAGTTCCAGTTGGCAATAAGACATGCTCTTGATCGCCTTTTTATATTTTCCTGCAGAAATTTCAATCCAATTGCCCCCAACAATGTTGCAATCAATCATGAATCGAAGAGCAAAAAGAATGTTGCTCTCATATGTCAGGAAATTCTTTGAACCAATGCCGTCAATTGTTATGCCCCTCTCAAGAATACCTGCCATAGTGTCACAAATTTCATTAATTTCTATATAGACAATTGTTAAAACCATAACTAACACTATGGAGAAAGCAATTCATTATCTTTAAACAATCTCAGATATCCACATGAAACCCCTAACCAAGACATATTGTACTCATGCCATTGAGCTTAATGAAAAGAAAGGAAAAGGCTAGTCGTTCTGTCATTGAGTAACAAAAACAAAATTATAAGTTCACTATCTGAATTCAAAGGATAGAAAAAAGGGAAAACATAGTTCCCCTTTTGCATCAAGCATCTTACCACGACAGCTAGCAACCATAGTCGGCAAGGCAACAACAATCTTAAGGAAAGGCTGTGACGAATGCTTCTGGTAATACATAATGCTTTTTTTCTGCACCAACTCAACCCGCTTAATGAACCTTGCCACATTGCTGTTTCTATTTGACTCTCTCATTCTCCCCTGTTATGATTCACATTGCAAGAGACATGATCTCAGCAAGACAACTGATAATGCAGAAAACTGACTACTTGTACACAACAAGACAAGACAAGCAATGAAATTATGTAATAACCACCTCTAAGGTTTGGTGAAAGCGGGAGATATCATCAGGGCCCATTCCCACAGGACAACTGATGTAGAAGTAAGGCTCAAAGCCATGAACATGACAGCATACACTGTGACCTAATCAATTCCAAAATCCATCAAATTATTTAATTGATAGAACCAATCAGATACTAAAATATCAAGATTAGTGAGAGAAACAGCAACTCTAACCCTCTCTGGTCACACCGAAGATCCTAAGAATCGCTGCAGGTCCAGACGAGTTAGGCAGCAGTTCTTTATGGCTTTCGCCTATCACGTAATCGATCTCGAGCTGCTGAAAAACTGCGTACAAGAAACGAGTCAAGAAAAGACAATTCAGCAGTTGGACTCGGACGAGGGCATCCGTACCGATGCTTTCGTAGCCAGAGAGGTGGGAGGGGGAGAGGGCAGGGCGCCTCCACCGCGAAAGGCGAGATGAGAAGGCCTCGTCACGGAGGAGGAGGACGGCCTCCTCGTCCTCCTCGTATCTCAGTAGAGTCTCCTCCAAGAAGACGTCCTCGTCCATCATCTCCTCCTCCGCCGCCACCCCATTCAACGGCTGCTGCGGGGTTTGAGGGTTTCGGCTGCCGGCCTGGAATCGCTTCGAGGGGTTCGAAGCGGGCGCTGGGGGCGGGCCCCCGCGGCGCTTGGCGTTAACTCCGCTCATGGTGGCCGTGGGATCAGGGGTGGGGAAGAGCAGGGAGGAGAGGGGCGACGAATCGGAAAGAGAGAGACAGAGAGACAGAGCGAGAGGAAGGGGGAGGGAAGAATTGGGTTCCCGCCACCGGTGGGAGCATAGGGATTTATAGGGGCTTATTGTCACGTGTTTTGCACGTGCATTTCCGTCATGTACATATTCCTGGCGAAATACATACAGTATGAAGCGAGCGTTTTTGGTCGTACGTACGTCTACTCTTCGTTCATTCCTAAAGTCTTCGGTGCAGTATGCGAATCTATCTCTTCAGCTCAGACATCCTCTTTCGATCCATTCCAGATCACAACGTAATTGTAAACATTAGAATTATAATTTCGATCACAGAGAAACATTTTTTGTTGTCGTCAATAGCTCCATTCTTTGTTCCTCGTTAAATCTTTTTTTGGTGCATTTGCAAGAGAAAGCAAAGCTGAAGACATCACCGTGTCCTCTAATATTAGATTACTACTTATCACCATCATCCAACTGATTCATTCATTTATCTATCTCGTTCAAACGCATGGCGTTACATGTTTAGTCTAACAAGTCTCAAGTAAACACAAACACAGTATTTTAACTTGTTAATCGGACAATGGATCACAAGTATTAGGTGTTTGAGGTGACCCGGAACTGCAAAAGTTGGAACTTACTGTGGATTAGCCTTTGATTAGAGATGATAAACACAAGCAAACTCCAACAATCTTGGGAATGTATCGAGGACTTTTAGGCACACTGGGCATT